ATGCATAAAAGTAGAAAGAGGAATCTCATATATTTTTTTATAATTATGCCATTAAAAAGAGTATCAAATCATCCTTTAACAGCTCCATAGTAATTAGAACCGGCTTAAATAATTCATTAAATGAAGAAGTTCTTTGCCAAACGTTAAAGCACTTGGTCATACACATAACTATAAGTCTTAGAACCAAATGTGCTTCCGGGATTAGACAAGCCTTCAATGTTTTCATGAATATGATTAACTATTACAGGTACTAAATTAATAAGTTTTATGAATGATCCCTTGCCTAACCTTTCAACCTTCATAATATCGAGATTTAATTGTGTCATCATCTACGAAAATATTACGTCACAGCAAGCAAAATTAAAATTCTATTTTACAACAATTATCAAACAGTTCAAGGAAGTCCTGAATACTTCTGTTTAAGTGAAAAGATGAGATAGTTTGCCTAGATTGGTAAAAATAAAGTTTTGATGTTTCATGCATCAAGCAAGTATAATTATTAATAATCCTAAGTAATACCTCAACATTTTGAATACTTGGTGGACCTTACATATTAGATGGTATTCTTCTAAAAAACTTCTTTTAATTTCCACCAATTCAGATCAGCATTAATAAAAAAGTAGGAAACCACTAAGTCTAAGCACAAGAGATCTTCTGAGGCCCTTAATTATAAGTTTATAATATTAAAACTCACCTAGAGCCTGGGTAATTATTTTCACAAAGATAGCCCTATCCATAACTACAACTGCACATCAGTTGGCCGCCATCAGTAGAAAATAATCTTTTTGTCGAAATGTTCTAATTGTACCATATAATATTCTTAGAGGAATTACATTCCGCACCCAGACTCCATTAGTGACCAGGAGGAAAAATCTTTGATTTTTTTCATTATTCCCTGTGAATTTTTCACTACTTGGCAAAGCAAAGTTAGATAAAAATTGCAAATCAAGAGGTTGTTTGACCTTGTTTTTGCAACTTGGTCATATTTGTAGAAAGACTTAGAGTAACACACCTAGTCCGGTGTCCATTGCATGCATGATTATTTACAGAATAGGACCGTGGACGTGCTACATTCCCAGACGTTTCGTCGGCATAGTCAGTGAGTCACGCCAGTCTTAGCACCACACAACAACTCGTCAGAGACAAGTAAAGCCAATACTTTGACCAAACGTGTGCTAGACATTTGTGGTACCTCCTCTTCTGCCCTGGGACATTCACATTTCCTATATCCTCCCATCATGTCTTCACTGTTACAATTTTTACATCTGGGAATGTACCACGTCCACGGTCATATTCTGGAAATTATCATGCATGCAATGACCAAGTTGCAAAAACAAGGTCAAACAACTTCTATACAACGAAAGGCGATTGCGACCACACAAAAGACCACACCATCTTGGTCTACATAACTTCGATTGCAAAGTAAGGTTTGATGCTATTTTTGGCAGGTTTACTGATCTTGCCAGATTCATATTTTTACTTAAATTCCCAGTTTCCCATTTATTTCTCTTTGAACTAGTTTCTATAGTAAAATATGTAGACTTCGTGACCTGAGTGACTAAATAAATATCAAAAAATGAAATTACAGGGGGCAAATAGGACTTCAACAAGAATCCTTTATGGCCCAGTTATTGTGGAGTTTTGCAAAGAATTGTTTAACGCCATGATGCTGTCTGCTTCACGACAGTTGAAAGCTAATTTCGGATTTGTCAGAATCGCATGACCGAGCTCCGAAAACTCATAAACACTAAGCAAGATGCCCAACTCCAAGGCAGTTTCCAGTAAAACCTATTTAAGAATCTTTTCAAAATGTTTATATGATAAGAGAGGTTCAATGAAGCAAAATCGGGATAAGTTTCTGCGAAATCCAGAATTTCTACGTTGAAGACTCAGCAAGTCTATAAGAGCCAAAGTAGGACGTCTCGGGGACTTTATCGTCCCATGGTTAACATTATTGAATTAAGTTCCGAACAGGTAAGCCAAAATATAAGCAAATCCGTCGGATGTCAATTTATCCATTTTTAAAATAATCATTTTGAGAAAATAATGACAAGAGAAACAGACAATAAAACATCAAGACTAAGCAAAGAATTTAAACGGATAAATCAGTTTGAGGTATAAATGAAATAAAATAAATAGTCATAATTGAATAACCTATACGCACCATTTACTACACATTCACCAAATAAAGTAAAACAAACTACCTGAGGAAGAGGCCTGTTAAAGCGTCTCAAGCCCAAAGTCACTTCTTGTTGCTGAGCTCCAACAAGCTCCAGAATTTGCTTCACCAATCGATGTTGGGCTCCAGAGACATAGGCACTATCAATCAAGACAAGTTCATCACCCTCCTGCACGAGGCCGGAAGTAGCAGCAGCCCCATTAGGAATGAGAGGACCTATGCTAACCTAAAATGAAACAGAAAATATTTAGCAAGTTAAACAAAACTTCTATTAGCATACGGTAGCCCTAATTCCTTTCCTGCGTATTCAGCAAAGTTCAGAGGTGAACAGAACAAAAACAGAACAATCCAAATTAGCATAAGTAAACATTCTAAAGAGATACCTGGATTATTTGCTTACGATCATAACGACAAAGTATCCGCATTTACTTTGGATCAATGCTGCTAAGACCCAAAATATAGACAGCAAATAAAAATCAAAACTAGCAAACGAAGCATGGGAGAAAATGATATATCATAGAGTAAAACAAACAAGTTTTATAGTATATATGAAGACA